ATTGAGGGGTTATTTGGTGGGGATTGAGGGGTTATTTGACTCACCTTCTTCAGCACCACGAACTCGTTCTCGGCCGTCGTGCGCCGGTTGATCTCCTCCTCGTACCTGCGGGGAGCAAAAGCACAGGATGAGTTCCTGCCTTCTCCCACCAAAGGGGGGAGAAAAACCCCTAAAATTAAACATTTGGACCCATAAACCACCCCCGGGATCACCGTAAAAAGGAGTTTGGGGGCAGAGAAGTGCCCAAAAAGCTGTTTGAGGCTGCCCGAGCGTGGTGGCAACTCACTTGCTCTTGTACTCCTCGACGTACTGCTGCATGTTCTGCAGCTCCGACTCCAGCTGCCCCCGCTGCGCCAGGATGGAGTCCAGCTGCCTCCTCAGGTTCTGGATGTAGCTCTCAAAGATCACACTCAGGTCCTTCCTCGGCCCTGACGGCCCCTGCTGCTGCAGCAGCTCCCACTTGGTGGAGAGGACCTTGTTCTGCTGCTCCAGGAACCGGACCTGAACCCAACAGGGGTGTGTGAGACATTCCCGAGGGAACATCCCGCTGCTGGGCGCTTTGGGAGCCCGAGGGGGTCATTCCCCGAACCCCCAGCTGTGGCTCAGTCAGGCATCCGAGCTCCTCAAGTGCATGAGGAGCGTTATTAAATTTATTAGTCATTAAATAATTAAATTTTGAGTCATTCTGAACTTCTCCCTTTGGGACACAGAGATGTTGGCAGAGGAAACATCGTCCCGGTTTTCCAGCAGGGTCGGGCTTTGCCATCAACTTTCCAGTAGTGAGGCCAAGAGGTTTTTTTATTCCCTAACTGCCCACAAATTCTCTCAGGAGGGATTTGCTATTCCTTCGGTTTCTATTTGAGATGGAAACGATCTCAGAGTGTCCCAGAGGTGTTTAATGCCCTGAAGTCCCCGGAATCAGGTTTTGAGGAGAAAGTCTCGCTCAAAGCAAAGCCCAGCAAGGAGAACTCTCAGGACAATTCAATTTACGGCGATGACTTTGCCCTGAATCACCCAAAACGAGGCGGTGGAGCTGAGCTGGCACGAGGAGCCCCAGGAGGTCCTGCAGATGTTCTCTTTAATCTTCCATTAGCACAAAACCTCGTCTATTGTTCGGTGCTGCTCATTAAAACCCGGGTAATTACACCTTGCTGCCGAGGCGCCGCTCTGAGAACTCCAGTGCCCCGTTCCACACCCCGGGGAAGCTGCTCGAGATGCCTCCTCCAAAAAAAAACCCTACTCTAAGGTCTCACCTTGTCGATGAAGGAGGCGAACTGGTTGTTGAGGGTCTTGATCTGCTCCTTCTCCTGGGTTTTCACCTGCTGGATCTGGGGGTCGATCTCCACGTGGACGGGCCGGAGCAGGCTGGGGTCGACTTGCACGGGCTGGATGCCNCGGGGGTGTGTGAGACATTCCCGAGGGAACATCCCACTGCCCAAACCTCCTGGGAGCTCTGGGGGGCCAAGGGAATCACTCCCCAAATCCCCAACAGGACATGGCTTCCAAGAGCAAAATTCCTCCCTTCTTTCTCCTTTTTTTTCCACCTCATTATCCTTAAATTCTCCCTTTGGCTCTCCTTGTCCTGCTGCTCCAGGAATCAGACCTAAATCCGGGACACGGAGGATTCTCCATCACATGGGAACAGGTCCCGCCAACGCCTCTTTCATCACCCAGAGGGATTTGCATGGTGATGAGACAACCAGGTAACTTTTGTTTTCTAATCCCTGCTCTTGCCTGAGCAGCAAAATCAGGGAAAGGAGGGAATTCCTAACAATTCCCAGCTCAGAGGAGGTTTTAAACTCAGCCCCAACCCCACGCCTGTCCCCTGTGGAAATCTGGCTTAGATCTGAAATCCCGGAGATGTGGGAAGGGAGAGCAAAGATCTAAAGGAATGTTTCAGTGGGAGGCTGTTTGGGCAGAGGATGGTGGAGGAGGCAGAACCCGAGCCCGAAACCTGCGGAGGTTGGAGGGGTTGAACCTGCTCGCAGGAGCAACCTCAGAGCAGGGCAGATGAAAGCCCCGCAGACACGGCTTTGATCTCGCGGGGAGGAGAGATTCCCATCTCTTCCCTTAATGAGAAGGCTCCGCTGGAGCTCCTCAGCCGGCTGGGATTCACCTCCACAGGGACGGTTCTGCACCGGTGGGGAAGTTCCTCCCGGTTTCCACCCGGCCCGGTTTCCACCCCGCCCTCTCACCTTGTCGATGAAGGAGGCGAACTGGTTGTTCAGGGTCTTGATCTGCTCCTTCTCCTGGGTCTTCACCTGCTGGATCTGGGGGTCGATCTCCACGTGGACGGGCCGGAGCAGGGTCGAGTCGATCTGCACCGGCTGGATGCCGGGGCCGGCTCTTCCCGGGCCACCCATGACAAAGCCTGGGCCACCAAAGCCTGGGCCGCCAAAGCCTGGCCGCCATAGCACCCGCCGTAGCCTGCCCACCCAGCACCGAAGCGCCCATATCCTCCACCCGCCTCCCATGCCCTCCGAAGCCGCAGATTCGCTCCTCGCTACTGCCGCCGCCCAATACCCGCCCCCGAAGCTGCCGAGCCCCGTAGCCGCCGCCGAAGCCGCCCAACGACCTGCCCGCCGTAGCAGCCCCCCCGGCATATCCTGAGCGCTGCCCCCACAGCCCGTGGAAGGCCTCCTGCTGCCGAAGCCGCCGCAGCGGCCCGCCGGCCCCGGTAGCCCTGGACACGGAGTAGGAGCTGTAGCTGCTCCGGCTGCGAGCCGCCCAGCCCCAGGCAGAGCAGGAGCTGAAGCCCCTCCGGCTCCCCCCTCCAAAGCTCCTGCAGACAGACTGGCGAGACATCCTGGGTTCTCCTCAAAGAGAGCGGAACAGACTGGGAAAGGCTGAGCAGGTGGATGAGGCTGGAAGGAGAAGGGAAGTCGGTCCCTCTGGCTGGAGGGCAGCGGGTGCTCCTTTTATGCGCTCCCGGAGTGGGCTGGGTCTGCATGGGCGTGAGGAGGAGACAGCTCCTGTCTTCATCAGCGTGGCGTGGTCGCAGATTCCCATCTCCAATTTGCCAAACATTGACCCTACCCAGGAACACACCCTCCAACGCGGCAGAAAAGGCACAACAAAGGTCCGGCTGGGGCTCCCAAGGCTCCCTGACCCGGGAATTCTGAGCCTTGAGGAGCAGCGGAGCCTCCCCGGGATACACCGGGAGCTTTTTTTCCCACCTTTCCTCCATCGTGGTTGTTCCCCTGCCCGCGTTTATCTTTCCATCTCTCACTCCAAAGCCCCGTGGCAAGACCTGCAGCCGATGCCAAGTCACAGCCCGGGCTTTCACAATTCCCAAAACACACCTATGTTACACCCTCAGCCTCCTTTTCACTTGGAAAGTTGCCTTTGGCTCCGGGAATTGGGTTTCTCAACCTCCCAGCCGGGGCTCAGCAAATTGCATTTTGATGAGGCTCCGGGTCTCTTTCATTTTTATTTTTTTTTGGGTAAATAAAACCTCCCCGGTGACGAGAGACGTTCCCGGTCGGACCCGAGCGCGTCCCGGAGCCTCCGTGCCAAGATCCTCTCAGCACCGGCTGGGAAATCCCTGCGGGATTCCCTGGAGGCTCCGGGGCCGTGGGGAGACTCCGGGCACAGACAGAGGGACGGCTCTGGGAGGGGAGGAGGGATCCCCAAACCCACATCACACCCCCTGCAAGGGCTGGAGTGCAGTTAACGGGGCTGGTTTGTGGGGTTATGGAGATGAGCAGGGCCGAGGCCACGGGGGGGACTTTCCTTGAGGAATCCCAACTCTCTGGGGCCTGTTTTGGTGTTTCTATGGAAATACATCGATTTTAGAGAGGCAGGGGCTTGTTGGGATCCTCTGGTTCCGATCCCAGGCTGAGGGTGGGTTCAAACTGATCCCTCAGAGGATCGTGGGATGGGTTGGGTTGGAAGGGACCTTCGAACTCACCTCATTCCAACCCCCTGCCACGGGCAGGGACAACTTCCCCCAGACCAGGTCGCTCCAATCCCCGTCCAACCCAGCCTTGGACACTTCCAGGGATGGGGAATCCACCCCCCTTCAGAGAACCAGGGAATGATTTGGGTGGGAAGGAACCTTTGTAAGTCATTGAATCCAAAGACCCATCCCTGATCCACCCTTTTGCCTCAGTTATCGAGTACCAAAGGGCCTCACTTTGTACTTTTTATTGAGAAACTCCCTTTTTTCATTGAGAAACGCCATTTTTTGATGACTTTTCCACGTTTTGAGGGCACGTTGAAGGCCAAAGCCAGGGCTCTGGAGGCTCCTCGCCGCGCTGGCAGCCGTCTGGCTCTCGGGATTCCCACAGGACACCCGGAATCAGGAGCTTCTGGAAAATCCACACCGGCAACTCCTGGAACGGTCGGGTGTTCAAACACCTCTAAAAATATCGCCCAGACACCCGTTCCCAAAAGCGCCTTCGGGGCCCGGCCGTGCGGCTGAACCGGCATTCCCACTGGAAACCACGACATTCCCACTGGAAAACGCGACATTCCCACTGGAAAACACGACATTCCCACTGGAAACCACGACATTCCCACTGGAAAACGCGACATTCCCACTGGAAAACCACGACATCTTCCCACTGGAAACCGCGACTTCCCACTGGAAAACACGACATTCCCACTGGAAAACACGACATTCCCTGGAAAAGCCACGACATTCGCCACTGAAAGACACGACAATTTCCCGGCTGGAAAAAGACGACAATTCCCACTGGCAAAACCACGACATCCACTGGAAAACGCCGACATTCCCACTGGAAAACACGACAATCACCACTGGAAAAACGTGATTCCCACTGGAAAACACGACATTCCCACTGGAAAATGCGACATTCCCACTGGAAAACACGACATTCCCACTGGAAACCGCGACATTCCCACTGGAAAACACGACATTCCCACTGGAAAACGCGACATTCCCACTGGAAAACACGACATTCCCACTGGAAAACACGACATTCCCACTGGAAAACGCGACATTCCCACTGGAAAACGCGACATTCCCACTGGAAACCGCGACATTCCCACTGGAAACCACGACATTCCCACTGGAAACCGCGACATTCCCACTGGAAAACACGACATTCCCGGCGCTCATCCCGCCCCCAGCACCCGCGTGGATCCCTGGGGACCCGGGGAAGAGGATTAGGGAGAAATCAGGCTAAAAAAAAAAATCACGGGATCGTAGAATCGTTGAGGTTGGAAAAGACCTCCGAGATCACCCAGCCCGGCTTTTGACCCAAATAAAATAGATACCCATAAATAAAATGTATATCAATATCAAAAAATTAAACTACATGTCAATAACACACGTCAATCAAATTTATCGATGAAATTCGTATCAATAAAATAAAATATAACTCAAAAAGTCGCAGTGAGAGCGAAGGGACGGGGCGGACGTTGAGCCAAGACGGTCAATGAATGGGCGATAAATCAATAAATAGGCAATGCATCAATAAATAACCACAAAAAAGGGGGTTAAGGCTCAGTCCCCAGCGGGACCCGCCTCCCCCGGCGTTACCAAACCCGCGGTTACGTTTTCCTGGGAGATTTCAGTGGGGTTTTTTTTCCCCCTTCCCGTGGGCGGGATGACACGATCCCGGAGTTCTCTCCCCGAGTTCCCAGGGGAGAGGCCCCGAGTCAGCAAACGGAGCGGCCCCGGTGTGATAACACGGAGCGTTGAGTCACGGCCGCGGCCCCAGCCAAGTTTGGGAAATCCAGCTGGGAACTGGGGATCGGCAGCACCTCCCGGCTCCGGCGGGATGGGCAGAGCCGGGATGGTTTGGGCGGGAAGGGAGAGGGAAAGATCTCCCTGTTCCACGGCAGGGACACCTTCCACCGTCCCAGGGGAATCCAACCCGGCCTTGGACACTTCCAGGGCTCCCCACCTCCACAGACAGGAATTCCTTCCCAGTATCCCACCTATCCCTGCCCTCTTCCAGCTGGAAGCCCCTCGCCCCTTGTCCCATCACTCCTTGTCCCAAAGTCCCCCTCCAGCTCTCTCAGAGCCCCCAGGGAAGGAAAATGACCTCGAAAGGTCACTTCCAACCCCAACTGTTCCATAATTCCATGAAAATGAACAGGTAGGAATACAGGAAAAGCTGCTCAAGCCTGGAATAATTGAGGGAAAACCACGGAATCCTGGAATGGTTTGGGTTGGGAGGGACCTCAAAGCTCATCCAGTCCCACCCTCTGCCATGGGCACTATCCCAGGTTGCTCCAGCCTGGCCTTGGACACTTCCAGGGATGGGGCATCCTCTGGGAAATCCATTCCACCCTCTCAGCCAGGAATTCCTTCCCAATATCCCACCTATCCCTCCCCTCTGGCAGTGGGAAGCCATTCCCTGTGTGCTGTCCCTCCATCCCTTCTCCCAAGTCCCTCTCCAGCTCTCTCCAGTGAAGGAAAATGCCCTTTAAAGTCCTCTTCCAACCCAAAATGTTCGACGATTCCATGGCAATAAATAGGTGGGAATACAGGAAAAGCCGCTCAAGCCTGGAATAACTGAGGGGAAACCACGGAATCCTGGAATGGTTTGGGTTGGGAGAGACCCTAAAGCACATCCAGTCCCACCCCCTGTCACGGGCAGGGGACAAACAAACCCCGAGGAATCCAACCCTTATTTCAGGCCACGTGAAATGTTTTCCCTCCTCCAAAAAAAGGCAGGAATTATGGCACACCTGGGTCCTTTTTCCTCTTCCAACAAAAGGCAGGAATTATGTCACACCTGAGTCTTTTTCCCACCCCCAACAAAAGGCAGGAATTTCGTCCCATCTGGGTCCAGCCCAGGGGAATTGTCCCCTGATTGCCGGTGCCAGCCCGGGAACAAAAGGAGAGGGATTTGGGGTCTGTTTGTGGCAGGAGTGACCCTTTGTGCTCCCGGAGGAGCCTCTTGTTGCCCCTCAGGAGCCTTTGGATTGGGGTGACTCCAGGTTTTGGATCAGGGTGACTCCAGGTTTGGGATGGAGTGACTCCAGCTTTGGATCGGGGTGACTCCAGGTTTGGATTGAGGTGACTCCGGGTGTGGATTGAGGTGACCCCGGGTTTGGATTGAGGTGACCCCGGGTTTGGATTGAGGTGACCCCGGGTTTGGGTTGGAGTGACTCCGGGTTTGGATCAGGGTGACCCTGGGTTTGGCTCGGGGTGACTCCAGGTTTGGGATGGGGTGACTCCAGCTTTGGATCGAGGTGACCCCGGGTTTGGATTGAGGTGACTCTGGGTTTGGATCAGGGTGACCCCGGGTTTGGATCGGGGTGACTCCGGGTTTGGGTTGGAGTGACTCCAGGTTTGGATTGAGGTGACTCTGGGTTTGGGATGGGGTGACTCCAGGTTTGCATCGAGGTGACTGGGTTTGCATCGGGGTGACTGGGTTTGCATCGGGGTGACTCGGGGTTTGGGATTGAGGTGACTCGGGGTTTGGCTCGGGGTGACTCGCAGGGAAGTGAAGCCTTTTCACTCAACACTTCAGGTCACTTTTGCACCTCCCAGCGCGCTCAGCCCTCGCCCAAACGGGTCCCCACCCAGGACAAGCCCGTGCTGGCAGCACCAAGACGTTCCATTGTCACCACCAGGACATTCCACTGTCACCACCAGGACATTCCACTGTCACCACCAGGACATTCCACTGTCACCACGGGGACATTTCACTGTCACCACCGGGACATATTTCACTGTCACTGATGGCCGGGACATTTCCCTGTCACCACGGGAACATTCCACTGTCACCACCAGGACACATTTCACTGTCACCACGGGGACATTTCACTGTCACCACCGGGACATTTCACTGTCACTGCCGGGACATTTCACTGTCACCACCGGGACATTCCACTGTCACCACGGGGACATTTCACTGTCACCACCGGGACATTCCACTATCACCACAGGGACATTCCACTGTCACCACCGGGACATATTTCACTGTCACTGATGGCCGGGACATTTCCCTGTCACCACGGGAACATTCCACTGTCACCACCAGGACATTTCACTGTCACCATGGGGACATTTCACTGTCACCACCAGGACATTCCACTGTCACCACGGGGACATTCCACTGTCACCGATGGCCGGCCCTCAGCTCCTCCAGCCTTTACAAACCGGGAGCGGGAGCCTCGGGATGAGTCACCCCCGGCACCGCCTGCGGTTGACCGGGGATGTGATTCAAGGTCTCCCGGGCCGGAGGTCAAACCACAGCAGGGATTTGGGGAGGGAGATTTATCCAAACGTTCTGCTTTCCTGGGGAGAGCTGGGGTTGATGGGCGGGAAGGGAGGGAGCTCTTGGTCTTCCCAGAGTTGCCCTTTGGAGACTCCTTGAGAGCAATCCAGGGATCCCTGGGGAGGCCAGACAGCAGGAAAAGCTACTCCAGTCGTGGATACCGAGGAATCGGCCCTGGATTAGCTGGAGGGGTGACGACCACCCTGCCCTCTCCCACCCCACCCGGGAAGGACGTTCCCAAAGCACTTGGGGCTGTGTGAGGGGTGTCCTGAGAGCTCCAGCTCTGCCCCCACAGCCCCGGGACCACCCTGGAGCACGGGGAGGTCAGAGATGGAGGTGGGATGGGGGGGGGGAACATCCCAAATTGGCCAACTCAGGCAGGGAAAGGGCTCCAGAAGAAAAAAGGGAAGGGAAGAGCCTCCTAAAATCCACGGGGTCCCAAAGGCTGCTCGGGTCTGATGGGGCCAAGGGGGGACAAAGGGTCACCACGGGAGACCCCCCTGGGACTGGGAGGAGGATCCAGGAGGAGGATCCAAGTGCTGCCTCTTCCTCCTGTGCCAGGAATGGGCTCGTTCCCGGGGGTGTCACCCTGTGCCCCACGTCCCAAACCCCTCCCCTGGCAAGACCCCCTTGGACCTCCCACCAAAGTCCCCCAGCACCCACGGTTTTGGGGCGGGAGAGAGGAAAAAGAGGAGCCTGGGCTGCTCCTTCCCCGGGGCTCCTTCAAACCCCGACTTCAAAGGGCAGGAGAAAGTCAGGAAGCGCTTTCGGGTCCCGTCTTGTCGCAACACGAAACTCTCGGGGCCGGGGAGGGAAAAACCACACCAGGTTTCTGCCTCTCGTGTTTATTGGGGGGAGAAAGGTCGGGCAAACACACACGGGAGCACCGGGGAAGGGGGAACCCGGGGCCAAAACGGGGGTTTTACAACAGAAACTCGGGCAGGGGGGAGGGGGAAAAAAGCGAATGAAAAGTCCGTGGGGTGAGAAACGTCCTCGGCTGGGCCGGGAGGAAATTCCTGTTCTGGAGCTCCAGCTCTGGCTGATGAGCAGCTCCGATTAAAGCTGCACCACGGCTGGAGCCAGCCCGAGGCCTGGAGAGAAGCTGAGTCTTCCCGAGCTGGGTCTTCCTGAGCTGGGTCTTCCTGAGCTGGGTCTTCCTGAGTTGGGTCTTCCTGAGCTGGGTCTTCCTGAGCCAAGCAGGGACCCGACCCAAGAGGGGACAGAGCCTCTCGCTCAGTGTGCTGATCCACGGGCTCATCCCAGACGGATTTAGGGCTTCCCAGTGAACAGGAAGGTCATCCCAGTTTGGTTTGGGATTCCCAGTGAACAGGAAGGTCATCCCAGCTGGGTTTGGGATTCCCAGTGAACAGGAAGGTCATCCCAGTTTGGTTTGGGATTCCCAGTGAACAGGAAGGTCCTCCCAGCTGGGTTTGGGATTCCCTATGAACAAGCAGGCCATCCCAGCTGAATTTGGGGTTCCCTATGAACAGGAAGGTCCTCCCAGCTGGGTTTGGGTTTCCCAGCGAACAGGAAGGTCATCCCAGCTGGGTTTGGGATTCCCAGTGAGCAGGAAGGTCATCCCAGCTGGGTTTGGGATTCCCAGTGAGCAGGAAGGTCATCCCAGCTGGGTTTGGGATTCCCAGTGAACAGGAAGGTCATCCCAGCTGGGTTTGGGGTTCCCTGTGGATGGGCAGGTCCTGCTTCCAAAGGAGAGCTCAGCCCCCCAACAACCAGCAGCTGGAGGGGATGGAGCTGTTCTTGCGTGTTTTTGAGAATCTCCATCCTCAGTGGGTGGGTCTGTCCATGTTTTTGGGAATCTCCATCCTCAGTGGGTGGGTCTGGCTGTGTTTTTGAGAATCTCCATCCTCAGTGGGTGGGTCTGGCCGTGTTTTTGGGAATCCCCATCCTCAGTGGGTGGGTCTGGCCGTGTTTTTGGGAATCTCCATCCTCAGTGGGTGGGTCTGGCCGTGTTTTCCTCCTCCCCCGGTCCCAGGGATGGTTCCAAAGGACTCGGGGACGCTCTGGGGGCTCTCGGTGGAATTCCCGTCCTTTCTCCGCGGGGTGCTGGGAATGGGGCCGGGGGAGGGATCCCGTCCCTACACCCTCCGGCCGGGGGAGCCGCTGTTCTTCAGGAGGGTGCCGGACCCCACCACCACCGAGCTGGACCCGCTGCCCACGGAGCCGAACCCGGACCCCGCGGAGTCGAATCCTCCCCCTCCCAGGCTGAAGCAGAGCCCGGCTCCGCCTTTGCCGCTCCCGAATCCGAGTCCTCCTCCTCCTCCGAGGCACATCCCGCCGCCGTATCCGCCTCCCACGGAGCTGCTGCCGCCCACCACGGCTGCGGAGGGGAACGGGGGGGCCCGGGTTACCTGAGGAGTTTGGGAGCAGCGACCCCGGCCCGCCGCGATCCCACGGGAATGGTACTTACAGATGCTGACGGAGCTCTGGCATTCCCCAGACATCCTGCAGGGGAAAGAGGTGCAGTGTGGGATCCAGCCACAGCATCTGGAGCTGCCTTGGCCCCATCAGACCCGAGCAGCCTTTGGGACCCCGTGGATTTTAGGAGGCTCTTCCCTTCCCTTTTCTCTTCCGGAGCCCTTTCCCTGCCTGAGTTGGCCAATTTGGGATGTTCCCCCTCCCATCCCACCTCCATCTCTGACCTCCCCGTCCTCCAGGGTGGTCCCGGGGCTGTGGGGGCAGAGCTGGAGCTCTCAGGACACCCCTCACACAGCCCCAAGAGCTTTGGGAACGTCCTTCCCGGGTGGGGTGGGAGAGGGCAGGGTGGTCGTCACCCCTCCAGCTAATTCAGGGCCGATTCCCCCACACCCACCTGCCCCAGCTCCGGGCTTTGCCCCCACACTTTGGTCCGGGGCTCGTGGCAACCCCACGTGGAGCCGATGGAGCACGTTTCTCCCATCGATTTACCGGGATACCGCGGAATTCCCGCCGCACCCCACCCACCTGCTCTCCTCCCCCTCCAGCAGCTTCCTGTAGGTCGCGATCTCCACGTCCAGGGCCAGCTTGACGTTCATGAGCTCCTGGTGCTCCCGGAGCTGCCGGGCCAGGTCGGCCTTGGCCTTCTGCAGGGCGCTCTCCAGCTCGGCCAGCTTGGCCCGGGCGTCCTTGAGGGCCCCCTCCCCGCGCTGCTCCGCGTCCGCGATGCTCGTCTGGAGGGTCTC